TGTGGTAGCTCCTTAAGGGGCAGGGGGAACAGCATCCTAGGGCAAAGGGGAGGATGAGAGCAAGATGCCCAAACCCCAAGGGCTCAGGATCCATGCCACTCGGCACCCTGGAACGGGGGGGTGGGGGGGGGCAGAGGTGAGACTAACAGCAGGAGGGTCCACTGACAATGTCCTCAGGAGCCCAGGTCCCTCCTCCACTGGGCGGTGTGGAGGCCTATTCCCTGCAGGCAGGGAAGCGCTTACTGCAGAGAGCAAAACACAGGGTCTCCCCAGGTTGAGCTGAAGCAGGGTGACTGCCTGGAAAGGGGGGGTGGGTTAAGGGAGTTTGCCTTCTACCTTCGAAAGTGACTAGCCCAGGAAAACAGAGAACATGATTTAAGTGCATAAAGTAAAATGTACAGACGTATAAAGAAAACCAATTATACTTGCATTCATTTAATAAGACAGATAAACTGCTTTAGCCACAGAAGTGCTTCTAAGTTAATGTATTAAATAGCAAGATCCAATAGCAGATCTAATAAGTACAGTAGTTTTAAGTTCCATACAGCCCCCCATTGTGTGTGTGTGTGTAATTTATATTATATATTCCTTTATTAGCATGAGAAAATACATAATGTAATGCAAGAAAGGAAAAAATAAAGCAAACAAGACTCCTGGGCTCAGCTATGAATAACATTTACAATCTTAATAATAACAATGTTGAATACTGATCTAATCAAAATAACCATGTAAATGTATTGGGAGGTAATTAGGCAAGGAAATGATTAAAGGGCTAAACAGAATAGGAAGTCAAGACATCATGCCAATAACCGAGAAAGCAAGAAGTAACAACACATGCATGTTACTTAGAGATGGAAGCTGGAAGGAGCTGTAAACAGTTGCCCCTGGGGAGGGGGTTATTTTTTTATAATGAGTCTTGCAGAGTAATTGGCTGCTTGAATTATATGCACGTACAACTTGGGTAAAAACAAACTCAAGGTAAAGCAAGTTTCAGGGCAGTGATTGCTGAGTGTATTAGTCAGAAAGCGAACCAGCAGGAGATGAGTGTCAGACATGTAGGCAAGGAACTGGCTATGTGACTGTGGGGCTGGCTCAGCAGTCAGAGACTCAGGGGAGTCAACCAAAAAAATGAGTTCGAGTGTCACCTCTGACACGTGTGTCATAGGTTCGCCATCACTGCCCTAGGAGCACTCACTGGTGGTTCGGTCACTAAGGGACCTTTCTCACACTTATAAATAACTGGGCTCCATCAGAGGTCCTTACCTGGCCGAGGGTAGGTTAGTCCAGAACCTGAAAGCCACCTAACACCTCGAAGGTACAATGTGGAACATCGCCACACAGAACACACTTCTGTGCAGACTAACTTGGCCAACTTCTTACGTAAGTGACCATTTTGTCTCTCATAGGAAACAAAACAAAACAGAAAAAAAAAGAAACACCAACAGCAAAAACTGAAAAGGAAAAGTAAGCAAACATAAACTCACTTACCCACCCAAAAAACTGCATGTGAACAAAATGAAGGCGCCACTAAAGATAAGAACTTACTGAACCAAAAAGCAGAGATCGCTTCGCAACACATATACTAAAGTCGGAAGGATACAGAGAAGATTACCATGGCCCCTGCGCAAGGATGACCTGAAAAAACACACCAAAAAACTAGAAAGCAATTGACAGACCTGATCTGCAAAGTAAAATGCAGGTTTTAAAAAAAGAAATGCAAGAAACTTCCTGCAATCTAGC